GCACATAGGAAGATTAATCACTACATACTATAGGGATAATAATGGCATCATAATCCCATTTATAATGTGCACAAGACGTGGGCATGTGTTATACTCGGGAGTGCATTGTACACAGCAAAATACAGTAAATGAACTTCTTAATTTTAGCACTTCAGGAAATAAAATATCCAGGTGCACATGGTTTCACTGCAGTCTTCCAGACATTTAAAGAATTAACACCAGTTTTCTATAATCTCTTCCAGAAACGAAGAGGAAGACAACACTTCTCAACTTACTTTATGAGGTCTGCATTATCTCACAAAATCTATAGACTGTTATCTCTCATGAACAGAGAGGCAAAAATCTTAAAATATACCCAGCAATATATAAAAATTACTACACATTGCAACCAAGTGGGGTTTATTCCAGGAATGCAAGACTGGCTTAATATTTGAAAATCAACCAGTGCAAGCCACCATTTTAACACATGTAAGAACAGGGAAAAAAAAACATGGCTGTATCGATTGTTGTAGAAAGAGTGTTTGGAAAAAGTTGAAACACTTGGTAATAGTCTCAGCAAACTAGGGCTAGAAATCACCTGGTATTTTGCTTTCTGTTGTAGAAAACAACGTTTTATCTGCCATTTCTTATTTTGTCATTATGAATGTATAATTGTCAAATCAAGACATATTTTTTCCAAGACTTTTGGTACATGGCCTCCATTTTTCTTTGTATTCCAGACTCCACAAAAATGTTTTAACTATCTGTGTCTTAAAATGAAAAGTTGGTTTCCAGGAACAATTAAACAAAACCAAATAATTTAACAAAATAAATAGCTGTTTAAAAAAAGATGGGGCAAATGGAAGCATTAGAATACCTAAAAGATACACAGCTCAAAGGCCCAGAAAACTCAAAATCACTAAGGACTCACTTTCATCAAGGGAAATCTTTGCTAAAATGAGTTTTATTCCCTAAGATGCCTTCATTGTGTGAAGGTAACATAATACACTCTGCAAGGACTCCGAAATATGTCACTATATTCTCCTTGAAAGAAAAACAAACACTTGAAAATTCACACTGGGCCATTAAGACATGAGACATAATGAAGAACTAGGAAAACAGTAGTCGCAACTTGAAACGCGTCTCCTGACTCGGCAGGCTGGTGGGATCCTGTCATCCAGGGGAAGGCTGACTCTGCAGTGCTTCCCGGTCTGCCGTCTTCCTCGGCTCCCGTGCCTCGACCCACATACACGCCAGGAAATACTGCCTCGTGCCCTGTTCTTTACCAGGGTGGACAGGCATCTGCTCGACATCGGTCACCTACCACTCATGCTCTTCTGGCAGTGGACTAACATTGACTTAATTCTTTCCATCATACTAACCAGCTTAAGAGTGGCACATTTTGCCCTTTTCTTTTTTTCCTTTTTATTTTTACAGAGAGGGGGAAAGAGGAAGAGAGAGGAAGAGAAACATCAATGTGTGAGAAAACGGTTGCCTCACTCACACCCTCTACTGGGGACCTGGTCAGCAACCCAGGCACATGCCCTGACTGAAAACCAAACTGGTGACCCTTTGGTTTGCAGGCTGGCGCTCAATCCACTGAGCTACACCAGCCAGAGCAATGCCATTTTCAATATCAATGAATTAATAATCTTCTGCATCTCTAAGATTAATAAAGAATCCTCCTCTTCAGTCAAATATATCCCTAAAGCCCCCATTACTTACTTAACCTATGAGGTGGAAAATTGAAACATAAAGACAGCAAATAAGCACATGAAATATGCTCATCGCTGATCATTATAAAAATACAAAATGAACCACAAGGAGCTATGACTCCACATTCACTGAAGGATGAGAGGGCCAAAGCCACAACAAATTACAACCGAAAGCACCAGTGCCCGAGACCCTTGGAACCATCACATGTTGCTGATGGGTGTGAACAGTGTACACCCACTTTGGAAATCAGCTGGCAGTTCTCTATAAAGTTAAACACACCGTATGACACAACAGTCCTTATCAGGCATTTACTGAAGAGAAAGAAAAACATCTACACACGAGACTTGTAATACACATGTTCATAGCAGCTTTATTTATAAGAGTAAAAAAAAACTGAAAATGACTCAAAGGCCCATCAACTGGAGAGGGAACACAAACTGGTACAACCACACAATGCAATTCTACGGAACATTACAAAGAGCTGATCACTGATACGTGCAACAACACACATCTCAAAACCATTGTTTAGAGAAGCCGGACACAAGCGGCTACATAGGACTCCCTTTATTTGAAATTCTAGAAAAGGCAAAAACACAGTGACCAAAAGCAGATCCATGGTTGCCAGTGGAGAGCTGGGGGACAGAGCAGGGGGCAGGGGACTGACCACAAAGGGAAAGAAGGAAAATTTTTAGGCGATGGGAATGTTTTGTTACCAAGATTCTGGTGGCAGCGATTACATGACTTGCATACATTTGACAAAAATCACAGAATCATACACTTAAATTGGCTAATTTTAATACATATAAAATAATACCTTAATGCATAACAGTATGTAAATATATCAAAATGAGTAAAATGCTTGTTAAATTTCTAAATAGCCTATAATGAGAATGTATGGTTTTAAAACCAGAATAAAAATGCTATTTAAAAACAACATATTATAAATATGATTCTACCACATGATTGATCACTAGTGCTTAGAATTATATACAAACTCAGAGCTAAAAAGTGGAGGGAAAATGATCATTTACTTTGGGTAAGAGGGTATTAAAATGAAATCCTTCTAAAGCTTTTCTATAATTCCTAACTTTTAGGGTGGACTTTGTTTTTAAAATGCAGCTGCAGTAATTGCTATAATCAGCAATTTTCAACTGGTAAGCCACAAGATTTTTAAGACTTGCAGTACCTACTTGGTCAGGAGCTCTAACATCTTTTTCCTTGGACTGTAAGAGAGAGAGAGAACAGCTAACACAATAGCTGTCTGGTGTGAATGAATCAAAATTGTACCAGTTTTGGTTAGCTGGTTAAAAAAAAGCATTTTTTGGTGTGCACAGAATTTTAGTAGTTTCTGTATGACGAGATGAAAAACTTTGAAAACCACTGGTATAAATAAATCCAGAGCTTTGCCCTAGTCAATGAAGTTGGAAGGTGTCAGATGGACTCACTCCTTAAAGACACTTTTTAACGATTATTCAGTTGTTTCCTTTTTCCCCCGGTTAAGTTTCTGTTTCAGGGTTCTCTGTTTAAGAATCATCCTTGAATCACTCAAAATGGTAAGGCAAACAGATTGTCTTCTTTAATGCCTCTTTCTTTAAAACTACCAAATAACAAACAGTTCTCAGACCTGGAATACATTTCAACCCAGTAACATGCTGTTTTGTAAACAAAAGAAACAAGAAAAATAGCACCTTCAATCAAAACTTCCTTCCTAATTAGCTGCAGAGAAGCCATAAATTGGGGGTGATAATCACTTAATCTCTTTGAATAGCTCATCTATTAAACAATTCATCAGGAACATTTTCCTCATACATAAGGAGACTAAATATTGGTTTGCAAACATGGAACTAATTAACTAGTAAGCTTTTTTTAACAGACTTTTAAAAATGCTTTCTGCCAAGACCATTTTAGCCAACTGTGTATAATAAAAGCAAAAAAAAAAAAAGTCACCCTCTTTAGAACAAGGACCTAATGGTCACCTCAAGTTTAGGGGCAAAACCAATGTGCTACAATATTGTGACAAGACTCAGTGTAAGAATTCAGTGAGAGGCAGGTCACTTTTGAGAGACTAGCCAGAAGAGTGGACTTGGGACACACAGGACCTTCAAAACCTTGGAAGGCAGTGGCAGGCCGACACACATTCCCAGAAGTGGAGCAGGACCTGAACCAATGCTGCTGTTGTTAGCAGATCTTTACGGCGTTATCAAGAAATCCCAGTTGTCGGAAGATAACTCTTTTCCTTTGGTTTCTTTGCAAATAAAGAAAGGCACCTTTTAGGGTACAGCAGGTTGGTCTTGATATGTTTCTTTGTCCAGTATGTCCAGTACTTTTATATCTTTTAGCAAACATATGGATCAATCCATTAGATCACAAAATTACTAGAAAACAACGTTCAGCAAACAGTGCTCAGTGATGAGTAGTTTGTATTTCAATGAAAGGTTTACTGCGTCTCTGTATAGGCAAGGCAGTTGGGATAATTCCGCAGCTCGGCACTATCCAGGACTGATTCTCACCGCCGTCCCACTGAGCTAACCCTGGGACCACAAAATGGTGACAGCACTTCCGATTCCGACAAGACAATCCCTAAAGACGGAGAGCGGAATTTCCTCTTCTAAGTCTCTCAGTGGAGGAAATCTTTCTCAGATGTCCCCTGCAGGTCTCTCTTCCGTTGCCATTGCCCAGGACAGGCTCACACGGCCGTGCCTTGTCCATTCACTTACATGGGGAGCAAGACCGTGCAGGGACCGACCTCCCTGGGCACCAGGCCACACAGAGCAGGGAGCACTTGAACGAGCAAGCAAGGTGGGGGGGACAAGACGGCCGTTGGATTGATAACCAGTACTCGTCTCAGCCAGGGAGGGCTAAACACATACACGACGTATTACACTAACTTCCACTGGCCAAGAGGGTAACATAGCACTCAGAGCATAAAAAAAAAGTGTAATATAAGGGACTAATAAAAAAATACTTCAGGGACAAATAATAACTAAGATTCAGTGAGTACACTCTACATGCCAGGCACTAGTCTATGCACTTTCTGTACGTTAATATATTTAATCCTTAAAATTGTTAGCTGTACTTTCCAGATAAGGAAAAGGGAACAGAAGCAAAATAACTGGCCCCAAACGTCCAGAAAGTGAGAGCCAAGGCTAGACTTGAGGTCAGACTGCACACGCCCGCATTCCCAACTGCTGCACCGCGCTGCACAGCGCCATGTGGAAGGGGCAGGAACACAGTCTAAAGAGCCTTTTTAAACCAAATAAGCCAAGGCGGAGGTGGAGGTGTAGAAATCAAGCCAAAAATGTTGCTGAGATTTACACACAGTACATTTTATTAAATACTGGGTTTTACTAGAACAAGTGAACTTATGATAGAATTTTCATTTAAAAAATGTGGCTGTGTTCAAATTCCTACTTGACACTGCCTTTTGGCTAAGCATTCTACTTTCACTGGCTCTGTACTCACTCATACGGACAGAAAAATTAATTTCTTAGAACAAAGGAACTTCTCAAGTGGTGCAAGACTCAATATACTTAATAGAAATACTCAAAGCGTGGGCGTGACCACAACAGAATGTGTGATCAGAGAGCATTGTTTTTTACAGTGTATTTATAATAGCTACAGGTAACACTGCTAACTCATGCAAAGTAAGTCTTCACTGCAGACTGAAGGTGTCTGCCTTACACATGAAAATCATTCACGTCCCAGGGTTTGGCCTTTAGCCAAAAATTAACCTATGATGGGAAATGGCTGTGAAGTTGGCTTTTCAGACCACCACAGGAAAGCTGTCAGCTGTAATATCCATCCTGTAATCGCGGCGGCAAGTTCCTGGGAGTGGCTTTTTCTTGTGTTTTGATCAAGTCTATAATAGCTGAGAGGACTGCACAGTCTCTGGATTTCGTGTCCTTCCAGTCTACAGGATGGGGACTTTCAATCTTCTCTTGCAGAAGGGTATCTAGTTCCTTTCTCAATTCCTAAGGTTGGAAAAATTACACAAATTCAACAAAGACAGATATACAACAAAACAATGTAATAAATTACAGTGACTAGCTGAAACAAGGAACTTCGTAAGCTATTATACAAAAGACTGAAACATTTGGTAAATATACAGTAAAATTAAAAAATTCAAACTTTGGACTCCAGACATTTACAATGGTTGGTCTGTAACTACCTCAAAGAAGAATCTGGAAAAACCATGAATAAATTTCTCAACACTATTTGCTTTGCTGAAAAATGTCAAGCAATATTTACAAAATATGTGATACCTGTAACAAAAGCACATACAATCACTTAAAGTCAATCACCTTCACAAGATGGGCGATTCTTGCTGGGGACTGAAAGACGATCCACTCGTCAACAGCTATCGTTTCCTGATCATTATCCTTCTGGATGGAAATGTCTCCTCCGAAGAACAGGAGGCAGTACGGGGAGACTTCTGTGCAGTCGTACAAGTATATCTACACGGAGAAAATCAAAGCAAGTGAATACATTAAAGAGTCTGCATGACTGTCGCATGAACTCAGTCATTTATCACCAGTATCAATGTATTAGTATTAATCCTTCTAAAACAGGTATTATCCTATTAGTGTAACTATAGAGACGAGGTTTGAAGAAATACATTTTAAATGAACCATTCTTTATTAATTCAGAGAACAGCAGCTTTATATTTGTTTCAATTCAAACAGTACTATTTTTTAAACAAAATATTTTCTGAATGAAAAAGGAAAACACTAATGTAGTTGACATTATTTTTATAGATACCTAAACAGAATCACACTTAACATTCTGACTAGTATCTATAAGGTATGCTAACATGCCAACAAAATTCTCTGTACAGCATAAACTGCTGTACACCAGAAAATTCCAGTATTTCCTGAACACATGCTCTGAAAGACAATTATGCAAATCAAATAACTCTCCCAATTAAAATACAAAAATGGATCACGACAGACCTGCATGCTAAAAGTAGACGTTATCCGCTTAAGGAAGTTATTAATTCATGTCATAAAATTTTCTTACAGAATAAATTTTGTTTATAATTATAAAAACTATGTAATTATAAAAGTGCAGCACTGACACTCAGATCCATGGTCACTTTAAGTATTTACTCACGCTGCTCGTTCTCATCTTCAGGTGATAGATAAGCCAGTTGTAGTGAAAATCTGTCTGCTCCACATTAACGGACTTAGGATGAATGGAAACTAGTCCATCATTTTTTGTGTAAACTTTCACCCTTTAAAAAAGTTCAAATGTAGTTGTTAAAAAAAAATTCTAAGAGATTCGAAACCAATCCCAGAATTTAAAAAAGCTCCACAGATTAAGTATAGTTTATTTTTGCAATATAAATTTACAAATTTATATTTGAGGAAATAATTTTTTGTTTTACTAAAATATCAGCTAACTGTGAATACATCAAATCCTTATAATCGTGTGTCAAATCCTCTTCTTGAAGGTATAAATTAGTCAACACATTAGACAGGTGACAAAATATTTCTTAATTATGTTTCTACTATACAAGTGAAGGACAAAGAATAAAATAAACAGCTAAAGTAGTTCAAAGTGATTCAGACCAAAAGGAACAAGATACATAATACTGTCAATAATGATACGAATAGCCCTCAATTTAAACAATAACTTTGTGAAAGGATTAAAAAATTCCACAGGTTAAATATAAACCAGTAAAATAAAAAATTACAAGTGTTATTTACAAGGGGTTTTAGCTACAACTGACTTTTAAAACCCTGAAGTACGTCTAAGTGGTCTCGCATTCACTGCGATGCCCTGCTTCCAGGAGAGGAATGCCTGGGGTGAGCATGCTCTGACCCAGCTCCGCCTCAGTCTCTTCACTTCCAGGGTTCCTTTCTTTGACAGCCATAAAATTTTTATATCCATTTGTAGGGGTTTTTAATATTATTCAATGGGAAGATGTGTGGTGGTTTACTTTTAAATAGTCAATAGTAATGACCTGTATTAGGTGACATAAAAGCTGCTAATCCACTGATCCTTCCTATATGTTTTTTTTTTCAGATGTTGGTTTTATTTTATTTTTCAGTTACAGTTTTCTTTCAGTATTATCTTGTATTGGTTTCAAGTGTACAGCTTAGTGGTTAGACAATCACCCACTTGACATCACACCCCCTCAACATTTCCAGTAGCACCTGGCAGCGGACAGTTACTGTGGTATTACTGACTACATTCCCATTCCCGTACTCGACATCCCCATCCGTGAGCACCAGTCTGCTCGGTGACCCCCTCACCTTCCTTCTTTACCCAGTCCCCCAACCCCTCCTCACTCTGGCAACCCCCAGGCCAGTCTGCTCTCTGTGTCTAGGAGTCTGTTTCCATTTTCTTTATTAATTTATTTTGTTCTTTAGATTCCACATATAAGTGAAATCACATGCAAGTTTCTTTTTTGTGCTTCTAGGAACTCATACTATTTCCATCAATATCACAGTCACTAGCCATAATTCAGAATAAACTCAGAAATTACTTTTGCTCCCTGCACTGAACCAACGCCACCCTGCAGCCCTACTGCACTCCAGGAGCGGAGTCCGGCAGACACGCCCGTTTGGGAGCAGAGCGTCTCAGGCTCCGTGGGCCCCGTGGCCTCCCGCAGCAGACCGCGGACAACATGTACAGACAGGCATGGCCGTGTTCCAATAAAACTGTGCACACCTAGGTTTTGGCCAGCATGCCAAAGTTTGCTGGCCCCTGGCCTGGACCAAAATAAAGCACCAATCCAAAGAAAACTTTTTTTTTTTTTTAATTTTCATAAAGCCTTCCAAGGATGGCAGGGGGATATATAAAATATTCGTATTTCAGAGAGTTTCTCTGATACAGTACCTGTCAAGTTAAGGCTATGTGTGAAGAACTTGACAAAGCACTGGTGTCAAAAAGTACTTGATCACTAAAACTGTGTAGAATCCACCAGCCACAATGGTTAAAGTTCACGTTACCCACAATCTTACATGTGACAGTAGGGTTTCTGAGCCTCAGCATTTTCAACATATTGGCTTCTTTGTTGTGGGGGATGCCCTCCACACTGTGGAATGCTTTATAGCACCCCCCGCTTCAGTCTATTAGCACCACCGCAATTACAATAACCACAAGGTCTCCACTGTCACTTCTCCCAGGGGGCAAAAACGCAGTTGAGAACCGATGCCCGGGAACAATGCCTGTGCTTTATCTTTGAGGTCTGTATTTTTTATAATCATAGGGTATACAGTTTCTTCATTTAATATCACTTCAAATATTTCATGTTACTACACAATGGCTGTTTTATATGCCCACCTACCAGAAAAGTCATAGAATGTGGTATTACAAAACCGTAATTTCTCCACTGCTATTAGACATCTTTGTTGTTTAAAATATAGTTTGTTTTATTTTGTTTTGTTTTGTTTTAAATCTGGAACTACTTCCTTAGGCCACATGCCTCCAATTAAAATATTCACTTATGGATCTACTGGGCCGGTGACTGTTTCAATGACTGCTAATCCAGAGCACCCTTCAAAAGGATGGCAGCAGCTCACTGACACTAGCCATTTGTGACTTTGAGTTTCTCTCTTTCCTCACTAGCTTTTACTAGGCAAAAATAGGCCACGTTCTCTCCAATTACTACTGAAGCTAACTCTATTTGTATATGTATTTAAAAGTCACACTTTATTTTTCATAACAGTAAAATCACCATTTTATTCAGAGACAAATTACAAAATTACCTATTATTTATAAGAGGAAAAAAATCCCAAAGCAGAATGCATTCTAAGCAATGTTTACCTGGCATTGTTTTTCTTCTCTTTTCAGGCAATTAAAAAGGTTTGCATTTATTAAAGTTTAAGATGGCTGTCTTATTACACAGAGTCTGATACAATATGACTTCAAATGCCACCACTCACATCAGGCCACTGAACTTCTGGGATGAGTTAACACCTGGCTTACTTTTCTCATGTCTACACTGCTACACTTACTAACACGCTTTGTGAGTAATGGGTGACGGCCAGCTGACACCAGGGATATGCTCTGAGGGAAAGTGATGCCTCTGTTAACAGTCTGCCTACTCTTAAATGATCACAAGTAAAAAGAACAAGAACACGGCCCTCGTATGAGTAAGAACAAATGTACAATATGAGCCCTGTTGCATTACAGGATTTCAAAAGTTTAAGGAGACAATTACAGTTCATAATAATCTTCAATGCTTACATTTTTCTTTTTTTACCCAAATTTAGTCGAATTTTAGCAACTTTGGGATATAAACCAGCACAGATGACAGCTTTAATTATCTTCTCATTATCTATTAGGGGTGGGGAGGTAGAGAACAAAGAGTAAAATACTCATACAATGGACAAGAGCAGTAAGTTGTTGACACTGTTTTCTGCTTTACCTGAATTGATATTAGACTTTGGGTCTTTGGGGTTTCTACTGCTTACAAATCCCGCTCCAAGAAGATGCTCAGCAAACTGCCCTTTCATGTTATGCAGCATCTAGAGAGCAACGGTAACAAACAGAACTAGAAAACCTTCCACAGATTTATGGGTGTTATAAAGCATATATTCATAAGTAAATTTAGCTGTAAGCTTTCCAGCTTTATAAAGTACTTTTGCAAAAATGTGATGTTTTCGAGCAGAGGATGGCAGACTACAAAGTTTATAGAAACCTGTTTTTGTCAACAGCGTTTTATTGGAACACGACCATACCCATTCACCTACATATTATCTGTGGTTGCTCCGTGCCGTACGGCAGAGGTGCTTGGTTGCAACAGGGACCCCATGGCCTATAAGGCTAACCTAGTCATCATCTGATGTACAGAAAATGTTTGCCTATGTTAGGAAATGACCACTGATGTTTAAGGGTCACTCCATTTTGCAAAAAGACTAATATCTTCAAAATCACTCTCTACCCAGTATTTTGAAAGAAATACAGAAAAAGTACAAAGAAAATAGCCAACATCCATCCATATTTCTACTACTGAAAATTAACTACTGTGGCTTCTTGGCACAAAAACTGAAGACCTTTTTTTATTTTTGAGAAAAATCACTACTGGGATAAAAATGATGCATGGCTCATTATAAAGCAACAAGTAATACTGAGAAGTACAAGTGAACAAACTTCCCTAAACTCAATACTGTCGGAAAAGTCATTTACTAAGAAACAGTACTGCAGACCCTTATGTATATACAGGCAAAAGAGTTAGGAAAAAAATGCTATCTCAACAATGGCATAACTGTATAGAAACTATTTTTTAAATTAACTCTAGTTCAATGTTGTAAAAAAAAATAGAAATGACACTGAACTAAATGAGTTCTACATTGGTCATATTTAAGTGTATCTTCCTGTTATGGACTGTGTGTGACTTGAGTTTCCCCACCTAATTTCTCTTACTGCTAACTTTCTGGTCACCTCCTGGTTTTCATTACCATTATTTTTTACTGTTCAGGGTAATAACCTTTACATCCTATTCTGTATCCATAATTCCTGTTTTATACTTGGTGTATATCTAAGTAATTTCAGTGTACAGCACCAGTTGATGGAGCACGAACTCTCCATTCCTGAATTCTCTTTCTCTCTTAATTGGCAGCATTTCACTGTCAGTGAATTTTACAAGAATAGCTCATGGATGCAGTATTTCAAGTGCTTTCTTGAATGCCTATCCTTTGTCTTGATATTTTAGTATCTTGACTGAATACAGTATTTTCAAGTAACACTTGAATTCAGCCACACTGTCATATTCAGTGGTACATTTCATTTTTTCTTTTTCAGGAAAATGTTTTTATACATCTCTCCAATACACACCTAACCTCACCTGAATTTTCCGTGCATAGACATCTATTACCTTTATGATGAATCAGTCCTGTCTTCCTGCCTATAAGCTTTTTACTTATGGTTTTAACATTTCCCTTTTGCAGCTGCATCTACAAACTGTGATTATTTCTCTCTTCTTTGGCCATCATTTGCTTTTAAGGGCTGTCCATTTTGTCCTTTACAGTTCTTTTGGTCTTTTTCTTAGCGCAGCAGTCTTTTCATCCATTCTATTGGTTTATATTCTTACAGTAGTTTCACTGAACTCATATTCTGCAACTGTTCTTTACTATGAAGCAGTTGTAAGGTATTTTCTGCTGAGATATGCTGCATTCCACTCCTTTTGTCCTTTGGCTGTAGCATCTTTCAGAGTTGCCACGATCCTTCTTTTCATTCAGTTAAGGCTTGGGCACTCTGGGGTAAATATGCTGGATTCCCGACTCTTTTACCCTCTTGTAGATGTGTTAAACGTCCAGTACACAGGGCTGGAGTGCATGCGTAATGGGGAAAGGTGAGGACATTCCTATTCCTACTGGCCTGTGATCACCTCTCCCTTCAGTGCACCTGCCCTACTTACAGATTACTTTCTTCTGTTTCACAAATGCTCCTGTCCAGTGTTCTCTCACGACACAAAATCAGCTAGATACCTACCCTCAAAGTTTAAGATACCCACCCTATTTGATATTAAAAATAAACTTTAGGAGTATTAGTGAAAATGTTCACACTGAGTCATCAAAATGTCAACTAGAAGGTAAGTGCCGGAACAGTAACTGAACTTTGCTGTGTTTTTCTGCTATATTCTAGACCCTTGTATCTTTTCTCAGCCACTAGTTTTTTGTTTATTATATTATACATCTCATTTTGTTTTGTTACAGTTGATTTAATAAAAATATTGAATAGTGAGCCAACTTCATTAGACAAATTCACAATTAACCTTTTGCCACTAACCTAATTGTACAAAATGCATACATGTATTCTCTAATCTAATATGCATGAGAATCACTCCAAAACATGCACCATTACCTGCAATGTGTTTGAAGACAGAAAATATTCCCAGCAATAGTCTTTTTCATATCTGTAACCACGTCGCCTAGCTTCTTCCCAACCCTATGAGGCAAAGAAATGAAGAAAACCATTTATATTTTTCCCCTAAGCAAAGACTAACTACTTGTCTATCTTCATTTTGTAATAGTTTAATCTTCTATTGATGTCTTCTATGTAAAAAGGTCAAAGAATTTTGAAATTTATAAACTAAAAAAAAATAAACAAACAAAACAAAAAACACCTCCCCATGATCCCAATTGTTGTGGTAACCACCACTGAATTTTCAGACCTTTTTACAAGTAAGTACAAGTTAGAGAATAATATATTGTGTATTTTGTACAAAATGGCATCATACTGTACATAATGTAGTAAAGTAAATGAGAACTGTTGAAAAATTTCAATGCTATCAAATGTTTTTCAACTTCACAAATATGGCTTATTTTTTAGCTCTCTAGAGCAGGAGGAAAAATAGGGAAAAAGAAAAGTAATACTGAATTAGCTCAAAGAAAAAAAAAACTTTCCTATAATATGTAGTACAAAACTGAGTCTAGAAGTTGCTGTCTCTAGAAACCAAATTACATTTAAATTTTGCAAAGATAAGTGATAAATGTTTATCCTCTGATACACCTGGCTTTTGGGAGCAGAAAATGTCTGTATTCTGAATAATATATATGATTATAATACTCTATCTAAATGATAAGTCAGAATTTAGGTATAGTTTATTAATGAACAGAGAGAGAGAGAGATACTGTCTCTCATGGAATGTCAATAAGATAAACACAAGTGAACAGCAAATATTAAAATAAATTGTTCATTTGTTCAATGGTTATCAAATCAGAAACACAGACTTCTTTTCCAAAAGTATAAAAATTAAAAAACTATTACACAACTTAAAAATGAAATTTGTTTTCAAATATTTAACTAATTTTAAACATTCTCACTTAGTAATGTATTCCGAAGACCTATGATGACACAGATCTCAAAAAGTTAAATAGGTTCCTATTATCAGCTTTTCACGTGAATAAACTGTCACAAGTTATTTTTTACCTCAAATGCATTCACAACTGTCAGATGGTCACTTTTAGAATCCTTTGCCAATTCCTTTCTTCTTGCATCTGCGACCTTTTCTTTCCCCTTAAAAAATACAGACCAAGGCAACTTAAATGGCTCTCACACTATATATTAGAACATTCTAACAAAACGCTAATGAATAAACATTATCTAAGCAACGACTATCACATGTACATAAAAATGCCTAGCCTTTCTCTTGTCTCTTTCTTACCAATGGAATCACAAAGGGATCCTTGAAGCTGAGACTCGCAGCAATGGTAAGCACTGGGTCTAAACAACAGAACAGAGCTCCAAAAAGAATCATCTTTCCAATGTGCGGCTCAACTGGTAATCGTGCTAAATGGACTCCAAGAGGTGTCAATTCTTCCTGTTTATCCAAAGCGTTCTGTAGAGTAAGGGTTTATGTTTAAAACAGACATTATCAAACATCACAACTAAACCTAACTTTAGTTTGCTTAGGAAAAAGAAACCACTCCTCACTCTCTCAATGAGCCCAAATAACCGTAATACTGTTCAGTGCCCGTAGAGGTCATCTTTGGGGCTGAGGGGCACTGCAGTGATTGGGAGAGCGTGGGAGGAAGGCTTTACATTAGGATACTGGAATGTTCTTACTTCTCGACATGAGTAATGATTACACAGTGCTCACTTTGTGGTAAATCATTAACCTGGACATTTTTGTTTTGCTCTTTTATCCTGTATGGGAATGCTGTAATTCACAATAAATTTTATCTTTAAATGTGGGCTCCAGCCCCTACTGTTGGCAAGGATTTGCTGGCCTTTTCAAAGTTCTGTTGCCTGCAAATGAGCACATAAAGACAGACTCCTAATTCCATTCGGGAGAGGACACATCATCCTGCTGAGGCTTCAAGTCCCTCTGACTGTCCATCTCTACCATAAATAGTGAGCTGATTTTCTAAGCACCATGCAACTCTCCATAGCAATATTCTATCAGACAGAAATAGGGGCCCTGGCTGGCATAGCTCAGTGGATTGAGCTCGGGCTGCGAACCAAAGCATCGCAGGTTCGATTCCCAGTCAGGGCACATGCCTGGGTTGCAGGCCACGGCCCCCAGCAACCGCACATGGATGTTTCTCTCTCTCCCTCTGTTTCTCTCTCCCTTCCCTCTCTAAAAATAAATAAATAAAATCTAAAAAAAAAATAAATAAAAAAAATAAAAAGCCTTTAAAAAAAAAAGAAAGAAAGAAACAGGGGAGAGAGGTCACTGGTAGAACTGTACTGCTTCCCACAGACCAGTGACCTCACTAAACCTAACCTACATTCCAACAAAGAAGGTTAGACAGTAACACAATGCTTTTTCACTCCAACGACTTATTACTCTCATTAAAATCTACTGCAGTGTTCTCTGATATGGGCCAAATTCTCAAAATAATCATGGATGACTCAAATAAAACTGAAATATGTAAAATATGCTTTGGCACCCCCTAACCCAGCACCAATCAACAGAACCTGCAGCGATGACAGACACACTCTACGTCTGGGCTGCCCAGTACCGTGGGAGGGGCTGCTGTACCGGACTACACAGCTCTAACAGCCTTCTCCCCGCTCTGGGCTCTAACTCACAGCTAGTTCTGTGCTTCTCAACACGGTCTTGTGCAGGGACGGCTACCAAGAAGTCACTTGACGAAGATACTGAGACTAGTTTCTCAAAACACTGACTTCAAGGGAAAAAAAACAAAAAACAGAAAACAAGGAAAAAAAGCTTTAAGAATAAAATGACAGGTAGGGGAATATGACATTGGAGGAAAGTCACCTATTAGTATTCCCTCAACAATACAAGAGTTGCCTTTATAAAACACCCATGCAAAGATTTCAAAATTGTATGTAATTTTAAATCAAGCCTACAATGAAAAAAACTGTGTGACAAGGACTTAGTATAAGAACGTAATGAAGATTTCATTTTTATAACTTCCTAACTCGTAATTTTCATATACCAAGGTGAACAGTCAAACAGTGTATAAAATTGGGCACTGTGAATTCACTGATGTAGCTTGCAGTAACGAGACTAAGATTATAATTATCTGGCTTTTATGCTCTAATACTCTTTATCTAAGTTAAAATTTTTTTAAAAAGTCCAGCTTACCAGTTCCATCAGGTGTTTTATGGAGAGTGACACTGCCTCGTTTGATGGTGGGTCCATTAACCTACTCAGAAAATGAGCAATTCCACCAAGCCTTAAGATCTGGGAACGACAAATACAAATATAATTAAACACATATTGTATATTGACGTAACAGTTAGTTCTGCTGGTCACTCAGGTAATGCATCAAACCTACACAAGATCTTCAAGTCAGTTATTTTACCAGAGTAAGTTGAAATTACATTTGTGATTCTATAAAAACACGTTTAAAAGCTGATATACTACTTTCATTATCCACCAACTTAATGAGAAAAATAGTTGGTTAAAATCTCAACAAATCAATTACCAATTATTTCTGAAATAAGAAAATTATACAAAAATATATAAAATACTGGAAAAAAAAAAAAGGTAAGTACTTTATAAAGAGAGATAAAAATCTTAAGATGCAGTAACACCTCTGACCAGTGTGGCTCACTTGGTTGGATTGTCATCCTGTAAACCAAAAGGTCACGGGTTCAATTCCCAGTCAGGGCACATGCCTAGGTTGCAGGTTCAATTCCCAGTCAAGGTGCACAGCAGAGGCAATTGATCAATATTTCTCCCTCAATGTCAACATTCCCCTCCCACCCATTCCCCTTTCTCTAAATTCAATAAGCATGTCCTCAGGTGAGGATTAAAAAAATTATGTAATAACAGTAGCTAACATTTACTGAATACTTACTATGCAGTAAGAAACTTGTACCAGTTTAACTTAAATAACTTGTCCAATATACCAAAAGTGGCTTGTCAGGAGAGGTGGTGAGCTTCAAACATAGGCAATCTGGCTTCGGAGCAGTACACGATTAAATACTTTTAAATAAGCATTCAAAGGAAGTTTTAAAACATAGTGTACTCACACACACAGAAAACAAATGTGTGGTAAACATCAGAATGCCATCCCCATTTCATTTTATAACCATCCCACTAACTTACCTTTATTTGTAAACAAAGTTCTTCTAAAGGAGTTCTCAAGATCTCTGGCAGCTGGTAGTCCTCTAGAAGGCTTGCTCGGAGACCATTGTACAGATGATAGCAATGGCCAGGTTGAACTCTGAAAAGGAAAACAAAACAAGTGGGGCAGAAAGGACGCATTTGTCAGTGACTTTTTAGAACTACAGAGAAAGTAGGCAGGGAAAGTAGCCAATATCTACTTCTTACAAGCCACAGCATAGCTAATTTACTTATTATTTCATCTTTATTAATCACATATTCCTTCTCCCCATCTACTCTGAAGAGCCTTAAATCCACTATCCATATCCTATGTCCCAGTTTTAAGAAATAAAAGATTTCCTTCCCCACCCAGAATTAGATCCCCTATTTCTACTGTCCTGTGTAACAGCAGTCTACTAGGGTTGAATCTCTCTATGCCTTGTGAACATCTGATGTAACAAACCCTGACATTATGTTAACCTGTCTATATTAGTTAAAATGCTTTTAGGTATGTGCTATTCAATGAGCTCTCAGAGGAATGTTGGAAATTTTTTTTCCTTCCATGTTTGCTTCTAGTGACATGAATGATATTCTTTGGACAATAGTAAGGACAGATGTGAAGAGGTGAGGATATACATGCCATGTATTTTCAAGAAAAACAAATAGTTCTATGGGCTCTTGCTGCAATAGCAGAAGGTCCTTTTCCTATAGGAATAAAAATAAAATCTAAAAATCTTAGCCATTTCTGTCACGAGCTTTCAAAAACCCATTGTCTGTTACATAACATGCCTGCAGAAATTATGGGTGCTTCCACTGAGGAGCACATAATATCGTTTGCTCTGACCTTCAACATAATTATCAAGCTAATTAGGCTTTGCTAAAGGAATTTACATCTTTGGAGCCTACAGAGAACTATGTTCCATTGCAATTAAAACACTGTAATTCCATTTAACCTCCACTAGGGTAGTGGGGTTAAAGACTTAGATAAAATTAATACTTCGTTTACTCGATTTTTGAACTGTTTCACGGATCAAATCTAAGACCTAACACGTGTACTATTCATACATAAAAGTGTGCCACAACCCGTTCACTATGATGAATACTTTTTAAACCAGTACCCTGTGGTGACAGGTCTGCATGGGAGAACCCCGGACTTGCTGGGCCCCCAACTGACCTATCCCCAGTAACTGATGAGAAGGGTAAACTTCTTAGACTAAGCCACAACTTTGGCTCAACAGCATCAATTGCACAATGTAATAAACTACCTAGAAGCCAAGCTATACTGGGATTATCTGCAAAAATTACAACAAGTATGTCAGAGTTTTATAAACATATTACAAACTTAAATAATGCAAGAATATGCATGAAAATGAACAGTTAAGTTCAATTATTTGTGTTAAAGACAAATAATTTTCCTTCCATTAAGACAGGGAAATTTTTATTTCTTATACTACCATTTACATCAATGGGAGCAAGGTACTTCCCTTGGGTTTTTGTTGGTAACTAATAGTGACAAACCAGCACAGACGTACAGTACAGGAATCAGGAGTCCAGACTGCGGAACCAGATGCCTGGAGTCAAGTATTGCTACTACTTACAAAGCTGTGTGACTTTAAAAGGATTATATTTAATTTCTTTGTACCTTAATTTCCTTACCCTTAAAATAGAAGTAATATTTTACCTCACAGCACTATGCTGAGAATTAAGCAAGTTAACTTATTTATATATATATGTATGTATGGTGATTAGGAACTTATTTATATATATATGTATGGTGATATATGTATACATATATACATGTATGGTGATTAGGACATGACCTGAAATTCAAACAGTATTAGTAGTTATTATTAGTAACATGTGCCTTTTAAAAAAGAAATAAAATTATAGGCAGTATAACTAACAAGAAAAATAAAAAATATTAATTTAAATGAACTGAATTAAGGAATGGGGTAGAAAAATCATAAAAAAGAATTCCAAAGAAACGGTAATTAAAAGATTTTCTCATTTAAAAATGTGCTATAGTAAGTTTTAAAACATATGAAAGGTAACTCTTCTAAACACAGTAACACATTTTGCTACAGAAATCTTTTATGTGTTTTTTAAAGGCTTCAGACAAGGTCCCGCCTTACCTTCCAGCTCGACCTTTCCTCTGTTTGGCATTAGCTTTACTGACCCACTCAGCAGACATTGTACTGATGTTGTTCTGGGTGTCAAAGTGTGTCTCCTTTATTTTTCCTCCATCTATCACATAAACTACATCATCTATGGTGATGCTGTTTGGAAACAGATATATAAAACATTAGAAGCACATCAAAAGTGCCAATTATCTATGAAAAGTCTACAGGCCGGGAATTCAGAGCATTTCTATGGGATCAAACAGATTTTAGCAGTTCAGGGTTTCCGCCTATCTTCCCACATTCACCAACGTGACCGGACCGGCCACTTCATCGTAGGCAGCCTCAGCAGCTGCAGGGCAGCACAGTGCCACTTCTGCAGACACGAGTTCGGTTCTTCCTCATCTGCAGCCGAACTTCACAGCTTGCTTGTGACTTCTGTACCTAGCTTTACTGCCCCCACCCCAGAGCCACAGGTTAGTATCAGCCTCCACTGAACAACGTTTCAGCGCTGTACTGGTATATTACTACCTCCAAGAGAATACATGCATTTTAGAAGCTGGCCATCCCTAACTCTCAAATTACCGAACAATACCATCACCTACGAGCAAAAGGCACACAGAACAAAACTGGTATTGGCTCCCATGTGCTTTTGGGGAAGCTTTGAAAAAAATCTTAAAAGGCTGTTTTGGAAGAGGGCTAAAATATTAGTACAGGCTAAATACATTTTTAAAAACTAAACAAACCTATGCCACTACCATAATTAAATTAAAAGATTTACTTTTGAGAAATTATAAAGTACTTTGTAGAGAAAAAAAGATGAAGATACATTAATGAGTTATGGGGCTTAAAGCAAGACTAGTCACCAGCAGCCAACCCATAAAACAATCTTTACCTAGTCTCTGCAATGTTGGTAGCAATCACTATTTTCCGAACACCAGGAGGGGTTCTTTTAAATACCTGTAAGAATAAATACATCAAAATTCCAAAATGACACTAATTTCTGATATATTATTCTTTCAGTTAGAGGAATTACTTCAGATGCTACCCATTTTTCACACTGTTTATTTGTTGACATACATATGCACGTAACATTTATGAATGTATTTATAAAGTATACATCATACCACAGAACCAATCTAGATCTCCCACAGATGTCAAAATCTTATCAAAAACAAGATTTTAAATGAAATACAGTAATTTATAGTATGGTTTTAAACAAAAACTGGAAAGTTAAATATCTTACTGTGTAGTCAAACTTTTAAGGGAGAGAGAGAAATTTTGTGTAAGGCTATGAGTTCTGAATTACCCAAAACGATATGGGTAAAAACAGCAAACAACCAGGCAGATGCCCAACTCATGAGAATAAATATTAATGGCTGTACCGCCACATACTATATTTTGACATTAGACTGGATTTTTTAAAAGTCCCCTTCAAATGCTGAACCCTACCAACAATACAGCCTTGTGACAAAGTCACCCAAGTAGATGAAAAGACATGCAGTGCAGCCAAGTACCACTTGGCTGTAAAGCAAACAATGCACGAAGGTATCCCTATTTGTATAAAAGTAGTAATCAATAGAGAACATGGTGTTTGCCAGTATAGGCACAGACTCTGTAGCCAAGGAATAAAAGAACTGACAGGGTGTCCACACTGAAAGTGTCTCCACACCACAGTGTCTAACAGACAGCAGTCCAGTCTTTGGAACCAAGAGCTCTCTCCCCTTCTCTTCCCTTGGGTCTGCCCTCTGTCTCTAATTCTGTGTCTAATCCTGAATCTGACACAGGACAAAGGTACCAGCAGAAAGGATATTAAAAGCCTCAATAAAAAAAAGTCTTGATAGTTTTTTACAAACTGTGAAAAAACTAGGTGGGAAGAGGTAGACTTTCTCACCCATCTTATTCTACCAGGGCCCACAAATGCTACAATCCAGACAATTACCTTGCCTTTGAGAATGCAGTGTTCATTCTAATTCAGGAAATCTCTGAATCTGGCTGAGCCAAAATATTCAAAACTGTAATACTACATTATCGACAAAACAGGAAATTTCATACCTACAAATATACTAATGATGTAAATCAAAATGTCAAATATCAAGCTGTGGTATGTCATTTTTATTGGTACTCACATACCCTTTCTCTTTTACTCAGAAATGCCAAACAAGTTATTGGTGAAAAAAATCTTTAAACTTTTCCCTGATGTTGACTGACTAATTTGATGTGTGGATTATTCTCTTATTCATGTTTTTGTAAAATCATCCCCTGAAGACTCATTTATGAGGTTCTTAAGTATTTTTTACCTGGGTAACTATGTGAAAATATGCCTTAAAAATAAATAAATAAAATGCAATAAGCAGTCCTTTAGGCTTGCCTCATTTTGAAAGACAGTGAATAAATTTAACAACATACCTGCGTCTGGTTAACTGTAGGCATCAGTGAATGTAAAGGTATAATAAGAAACTTGTCTGAAAATTAAAAATAAAATTAAACTTTAGGACAGTTGCAGAAAAGCTCCATTAGACATATACAGAACATAATTTTAATAAATTACACTCATATGTTTTAAGTTTCAAAATGAAATAGTTTAAGCCCATCATGATTACTAGCTAATAGAAAGTTTAGTGTAGTACAGTGATAGGAAAGATGGTTAGTGTTCAAGAAGCAAAGGCAAATTCCACGTTTAGCTGTGGTTACAAAAAATGCAATGCTGACTTAAATTTCTAGCAACAGTGCCCAAATGAATCAAGATAGTGCTATTACCCCCAGAAAAGAGCTATTGTTATTCAAAGGAGATATGATGCTCCCCACAGACTCTGATGACTCTCTGAACTTAAAAAGTAGTAAATGCTGTCAACTGGTATTGCTGAAAAATGCTCCATTACTTCTCTGTGACATGATATAAAATATATCAACTCAATCAAAAGTCAAACCAAGCTACTTCACTCAGACTGAATCAAGCCTACAGACAGAACTTCCTGTTTATAGAAAATTCAGGTAAAAAATAATCAAATGAAATGATACCATGAAGATTCAGAAAAATCTAGAAAGTTGACCTAGCTTTTCCTGTAAGTCATCACCATGGGAAAAATAAGGAGAGAATGGGAGTCATGTTTTAGAACTGGAGTCACAGATTATCTGGCTTGACTTTCCTACAGTTGAACAAGCTCGCTATGAAGGGCATTTTGGGGGCAAAATGGGGAAAACCTGAATGCAGACTGGATTGTTTAATGATTTTAATAATTAGGTATGATAATGGCATTGCAGTTATAGAAGAAATTTGTCCTTACTTTTTAGAGGTGTGTGCTTATATATTTAGAGATAACATGTAATAGCTACAACCTAAAAAGCAAAAAACTAGACCACTCTTGGAGTTGCAATAAAACATGTTTTCTGGAATACCTGATTTAAACATCACTTGTGACATCAAGAGATCATGTAAAGTGCTGATATTGTCCCAGCCTGGTAGAAAGACCAATATTGCACCATCCTGTATGGAGGGGAAATAATCATTACAAAGGATCACGTAACAAAACACTAAAAATCTGTGCACACTTAAGTCTTCACTAAAATTATACTACCTCAGGATAATTTTAGTTACTGATAATAAGTAAAAAGTAAAAGCTCGTTTTTTAAAAATAGAATTTATAAACCAGATTTTTTCATTTGTTCATTCTTTTCTTCAAATAGGTCAAATACCTAAATCATTGGTATTTTGAGATTCTCATTCCTGGTTTCAAAAGTAATTTCTTCCACAGGTCATTTTTAGAAAGCATTTAAGAGGCCCTGGCCGGGCAGCTCAGTTGCTTAGAGTGTCATCCCAACACACCAAGGTTGTGAGACCAATACTCAGTCAGGGCACCAACAAGAGTCAGTCAATGAGCATATAAATGTGTAGAACAACAAATGGATATTTCCCTCTCTCCCTTCCTCTTTCTAAAATCAGTAAGTTAAAAAAAATGCATTTAAGAAATTCTATTTTTCTTTTTTCATGGCCCTGATATAAAAATGAAATTAAAATTATATCACTTGAAGAAAACAAAACTAACCTCTTCTTCCAAAACAATGTATCGAATAAGGGCAGCAATCAAATTCAGATCAACTTTATCATCATCCATCATTTCTACAACATCTACAGTACTTGCAGAATACCTAGCAAAATTAAATAGAAAATCACGAAAAACTTAGTAACGTTTCCTGACGTTTAATGTGCTATAAAATCTAAAAGTGAACTCAATCTGCCAATAGGGGAACAATCAACAGATAGGAAAATTATTAGGAAAATAATAGTGTTTAGCAATCAAAATAGCATAGTATTCAGATGTAATGAGACTTGCAAAAATCTCCTTAAAAACACACAAATTCAAGAAGATAATTCCTGCTTTTTGTTTTAGTCAGTCAGTAGTCGCTGTGTTCTGACTTTCAAACAAAATAAACTTACCTTTTCTGCAGTTCCCTTATGTAATCTGGCCAGCGATCTTTATAGATTGCTTCTTTTTCTTCTTTTTCTTGTCTATTTACATGCCCTTGCATGAAACTCCTCTTAAACTGGGATCTGCGTTCTTTTTGTTCTGGAACATATCTAAAATAAAAACATCCTTAAATAGCTTCGCTTTTTTGAAACTCTTTGGTTTTAGCTATTATCTATAACTTTTTATATTTAGGATTTTTAAAAAGATTATAAAAAACAATTTTTAGTGAACACTAGAGTTTAATATCAAATTTGTAAGTGTTCATTAACATAAAACCTGACATTCTAGATGAAAATCATTCTTCTCCATCAAAGCACATACAACTCTCGGTCATTGTAAGCAATCAAAATTAGAGTAATGTTCACCTTCAATTTGTTTGCCCTAAAACAAAAGATAACATTAAGTCCAAAATAATAGTTAATGTTGCCTAGCAAAAGACTCAGATTTTACATACAGGAGATTTCTAAAGCTGAGTACACGTAAGAATTCCCTGGAGAGTTTATGAATTCTGAAATCCTATACCTTGTGATTTGGATTCAAGTCTGGCTGGGGCCTGCTAATCCAAGAATTTAACTGGTAGCCCAGGAGATTCAAGAGTGTGTTTGGGAACACACTGTCCCATGTTTGAGAACTATTTAATTCTGCTCAGGCCCACAGACACAGCTAACAGCAGGGCCAGAAGCAGCATTCAAATCTCTCGTCTGTCCAGAGCTGTGCTGTGACTCCGCCGAGCCAAAGGGGCGGCTATAAGCTGGGCACATCTGTCCCAAGATCCCACCTATTAAGTGGGTTCTCAGAGCATGAAGGTAGAGACAAAAATGAGCCTAAACTTAACCCCAAACCCCCTCACAGTTCCCCCCGGGGGGGGGGGGCAGCATCTAGATGGAAGAGGGGGTTTGGAACATGTTTATTGTGAGTCAAATTATAGAATGCATCCTCATTCTGCCACTGACTACCTGTGTGACTTTGAACAAGGAGTAACCCTCGGATCTTTAGTTTCCTTTTTTGAGAGATTAATACTGACAACAGCATTAGTATAAAAGCAAAAAAAGTAACAGAGTAAAAGCACAGTGCCTGACACACAGCAGACACCCAGAGAGTGTTAATCCCCTTCCCTATTCAGTACCTGTGACCCGGGATTCCCCTAAGTCTTCGATACATATAGAGGCACCAACTGGAGGTAGGGCAACCTGAGACAGAGATTAGTCCTAGTCAGCAGGATGGTTCCCTTCCCAGCAGTTCCAGCAACAGAAGTAACCTTCAACCCCCACCCCAAGGGCCCAATCACAGCCCTCCGTCTCATCTCACCCCACTTCCTTCCCTCCTCGTTCCTTGCGCTGCAGCTTCTAGAAGGTGAGAGCTAGAGTGTCTGCTGCCAACTTCTATCCAAGGACCAGCCTCCTCCAACTCCCCTCTTAGGGATCACTACACAGATACTTATCTCTGCTTCAGGAGACCCTTTAGCTACAGTTCCTTGTACCTAATCTGCCTTCTAAACAGTTTAAGAAAGCAGGCCCTGCCCTGGCTGGTGTGGCTTAGTGGATTGAGTGCCACCAGCCTGTGAACCAAAAGGTCACTGGATCGATTCCCAGCTAGGGCACTTGCCTGGGTTGCGGGCCAGGTCCCCTGTAGAGGACATACGGGAGGCAACCGTGTATCTCTAGAATACTGATGTTTCCCTCCTTTTCTTTCTCTTTCTCCTTCCCCTCTCTCTAAAAAAGTAAATAAGTAAAATCTTAAAAAAAGAACAAGCAGTCATTTTGATGTAATGTTTGATTACTGATCCCTGAAACTTAGTTTCATTATTGTCGAGCTGTTGACAATTAATATTCTCTTAGAAATCAAGTGGTAAATATGCTGTGATAGGAAGTAGACACATCGTGGAAAGTGGAATTGAGGAAGGGCATAAAAATTTTGGGGCAACGCCGTGACTGGTGTGGCTCAGTGATTTCAGCGCTGGCCTGTGAACCAAAGGGTCACTGGATCAATTCCTAGTCAGGGCACATGCCTGGGTCACAGGCCAGGACCCTGGCAGGGGGCGAGCAAGAGGCAACCACACACTGATGTTTCACTCTCTCTGTTTCCCTCCTTTCCCCTCTTTCTGGGAACATGTAAAAATTTTTAAGAAAAATGTATGCACATTGATAAAACCAGGGCATGGGAGACCAATACACCATCTTCTCTCACTTTTAGTACGCTCCATGCTCTCTGCCATACACACTTCCTCTTACTCTGAATTTCACTGCTTCCCTTCCTTGCCCAGCCTAACCTGCTATCAGTGAGCTCATTCCCCACACACTACTTTCGCACACAAGTCAACCATACCTTAAATTAATAGCGTACATGCATCCCTGCCTAGAAGTTGTGAGGTATGTACCAAGTCTTTCCCAAGTTGTATGCTCAGGCCCTATTGCACAAATGCAAGACATAAAGTTCAAAAAATATCTGTTAAATAAATGTCCACTCAAAATTCAGCTGACTCTTCTCCATGTAAAAGACACAGTAGGATCTTTCTTCTCACCTTCCCACTAGTAATCTTCTCGCTTAATAAGTAAACTGTGGCATCTTGAAAAAAATCTCATCACAGTGTTTCTACATCTGTCCACATCCTCATGATGCTTACTAGAGGCCAGGCACTGTGCTACGCACTAGTCACAAAGACGAACAGGACAAAATCCTTGACCTCGAAAAATATGAAATCTAGCGCAAGAGGCAAATATAGAGAGACACATGACACGGCAGTAAGGTAAGTGTTGAAAGGGAGATGAGACACGCGCTGTAGGAGTCCCCATGAGAAAGCAACTCATTCTGTGAGAGGTGTCACAGATGGCTTCATGGGCAATAAAGCTAGGTTTTATCTTTACATAATCAATAGTGTATAGTTGAAAAAATGGAGAAGGTGGCAAATTAAGTCTAAAAGGAGGAAATGACATGTAACAAAGCAAAAAGTCATGAATGGAAGGGCGATGGCTGGCATAGTAGGGAACACTGGCCATGGGATACAAGAGGGACAACCGGATGGGCCAGACTGTGCAGAGCCTTCAGACGACGAGCTTAGGGACTGGAAGCTGATCCAGTGGGGCTCTGCTGCCCCAGCCGTTTTCTCGTCAAAATACAAATACAATTCTGCACAGCTCTTGCAGGAGGCGGCCAGCAGCTAAGGGCCAGTGTTGAAGGGATCACTAACTTGAGCATAGCAGCGAGGTGCTCTGCTGTAGGCCATGATAACCCAATACAGGTTCTTAAACAAGTGTTTAAAGGGAAATTTCAGGGGCATTATCTAGGGGGAGAAAGTCACATGAGATTTTTGGGGAAAATACATGGCAGCATGGGAGAAAACCACAGTGCCAAAGGAGGAACTACTGTATTAGCACAGAAGAGACAATACAGATCTTAAGAAAAAGAAATAAAAGTGAGAAGACATATATTCAAGGCAAAAGCTCTTAGGGTTTGCATTTTGGTGGGGTGGGGCGCAGGGAAAGAGTACAGAATGACAATGTAATTTGGTTACTATACAAGTAAAGCAGTGAACTTATAACTCCTTGATAAACACTGGCTTTTTTGATGTGCAGCTTAGACAACTGGGTGGAGGATAACATCAGTGCCCGTTATAAGGCTTAATTTTTCTGGCGGAAGCAGGGTGGGGATGCGATGAAAGATGATTTTCGTTTTAAAAATGTGAGGTTCAAGGTATCTGTGGTACTGGAATGCTGCTGGGCAGAGTCAGACGACAAGCTTAGAGTTCAGGGACAGCTTCGGTTTTGAAGCTCTTGCTCAGAGAGCTAAGAAAGCACAGAAGTACAGTCACAGAAATAAAATTACACAGTGAAATCACAACAGACTGAGAAAAAGCTAGCGAAGAACTTAGGGGAAAATCGTATTTAAAAGGTGGGAAATGGAAACCTGCAAAGAAGAAGGAAAAAACCAGGTAGGAGAACCAGAGCGTCCTAAACTTTGCTGCACAGGGATCTTTGTAAAAATACTGATTCCTGGCTACCAGCCCAGACTTTGTAATCTAACAAAGGTATGGGGTGTGATCGTGCCATCTGGGCTTTAAAAGGCTGAGGGTGATTTTAATTTGCATTTGGGAATCCCTGATTGAAGAAAACACGATGTTTTAGAAGGAAATGGTTAAGGGTGAGTTTCTGAATTAAAATCTGACAGAAAAGGTGACATTAGTATTTTTAAATCTTTTTTATTTCCAAATATTCACTTACCTTATTTTTTCTATTATATCTTCCAAAAGATACTCCACAACCGGAAATGTAAAACCAGGTATGTGTATCATTGGACAGTTACCTATTACGGTAAACAAAACACAAGTCTGTACTCAAATGTTTATACTGTACACAAACAGTATAAATAGGATAGTCTGTTACTTTTTTCAGCTTCGAAAATGGTCCTGAACTTTTACAGCTCTATCCTGTTTTTTCCCTATCATCTAGTTCCATAAAAAGCAGCCGTCTAGTCTTCACTCAGCTCCTTCTTACTGCTACTGAACTGTACATACATCTCACGGTTCTAAAGTGACGCAGAATACCGAAGGATAAAGAATTTTAACTGGAACACAAAACCCATTAGTCTGAAGTCTACCTTCTCTTCATCAGCCAAGACGGTGCCACCAGACTCTCTTTTACTGAGATCTGCATATGAAGCACTGTTCCCGTGGCACACAGGGTTAGGAGGAGGAAAAAGTAGTCAAAACAAGAACAAACCTAACACTATATTGTTACTTACTATTTTAGAATCATTGGTGAAAAAAAAGATTCTTGGAACTTTTTAAATGTTATTCATATTCTGTACCAAACAAACAGTACACACTGTAAGCCAAGGTCAACAGTGAGGCAGAGGTCACATCTGAGGTGGCATCAGAGCTCAGCCTCCGACTCTCCTAAGTCTGAGGAAGTCAATGTGGTTCTGGACACCTCACGAAACACACACACATAATCCACCCAACCAGACTCACAAGGCCTGGAGAGTCAGCTAGGCTGAATACGAGAACATGCATGAAATACGGCTATATTCCATTTTAACTCCCTCCCTTCTCCCCACCTTCCCCAATTATAAGCAAGAGAGAGTCGTAATTTTAAAAGAATATACTTTGCAGCTAGTCAAACTTAGTTTCAAATCCTCCTGACCTGTTAATTAGACAACCTTGGGTGAGCTACTTAACTGTGCTGAGGCTGTTTTCACATTGTAAACATGAAAATAACAGCATGTACCTCCCAAGGTACTATGAGAATTAATAAAGTGCCAAATATACTTACTGCCTGGCATATTGAAGGTATTCCATAAATTGTCGCTAGTATTGATGTTATTAGCAAACTGCCACTCTAGCCTATGGCAGCACATAAAAGCCACAAAAGAATCACGAAAAGTTTATAAAATTATTCAAATTTGTGGTTTGATTTCATGGATGCCAAGTTAATTGTCTGGTAATTACCTAAAGTAATAACCATAAACTTTACTCACCAAAATATTCCGAAAATTTCTCAGCATTCAGAGTGGCACTCATCAGTATTACCTTCAGGTCAGGTCGGTAACTGAGAAGATCTTTAACAACAGTCATTAGAACGTCCGACTGTAGATTTCTCTCATGGATTTCATCAAGCACGATGTGGCTAACACTGGACAAATGCCTAAAGGCAGAAGTGCGGTGAAGAGGGCAACTCAGTACGAAAATTAGAAAACGGAACCCAAAATCAGTAACATCCAATTTAATAACTACAGCTTTTCTAAGATTTAACTAAATATTCTGAATTTAAATACACTCACGGGTCTGACTGGAGCCACTGAAGAATGATTCCTGTCGTACAGTATAAGATAGATCCCTGTTTCCTTGGCAACCGGCTGTGAATAAAAGACACAAGTTAACAATGCTTGGTTTTCTTCACTACAAACATTTAAAAGAAAAACTTCGATTAAAGAAACACTTAGTTTTAATATCTACATGCTTTATTTCCTAGTTACAGGAATGCCCACCATGATAGGGTAATAAGAAACACTACATTCAAGTTCATTATATATTACTTTTGTTGTCATAACATTAATAATTTCACTTTAGAGGTATAACCATTCACATTCAGAAAATTAGCCATTACTTATGGCCTAAACTTCTGTTCAGTAATGGGAAAGCCAGTTGATTTAAAAAGGCAAATGGAATCTTGGCCTCTAGAGAAGACCCAAGAACATACAGTGAAGTGGGGTAGGGGGTTAAAGATGACAAGTTCAGTAAAGCTGATCAGGGGCTGGGGGGTGGTATGAAGGTACAGGACATCAACTCCTTTCAGGGCAAGTGAAGGTCTTCTAATGTATGTCCAGGAAATGAGTTATGCTTCTAATCATTTCACAATATGGAAGACATGAAAATGGCAATCCAATACTGAATTGGGGTTAAAAAATGACTGTGGGTCGCAAGCCACCTATGTTTCAGTTACTTTAAATGTTAATTCTAATAGTAATAATCAGCAGAAAAATGGGCGCAATCTTTTTTTTTTTAATCTCCAGCTTCAATTTTTGACTAAAATCTACTTGCAAACAAGTGAACATTCTTTACCTCTGCAGACGAATTTGGTATCCAGTACTGTTACCACTGCCACAAGATTCTGCCCTTTCTGCAGACACTCTCTCTGCAACCTTTAATTAAAATACAGTTACAAATGTGATTTCCTTTAGTACAATATTCTGAACATCCATGAAAATCTGTGATTGCTACGAAATTGTTAATCTGATTTTCTCGAGTTAAAAAAAAGAGTTATTAAAATCTGAGCCAATACTGTGTGAGTGAGTCCCTTAGGAGCTGCAGACTACTTGGTTGTGCTTACTTTTCATTTCCTCTTAAGATCTCCAAGGTCAAGTTCTCTCATCACTATTTTCAAAATGTCTTTCTACAGCCATCCTCTCATTTTCTCTCCTTTTGATTTGTCTTTTTTAAAAGAGCTTACAAAATTTGCATGGAATTTGAGAGTAAATATATGTTGATACATTCTTTTTTGTTTGTTTCTTTTTGTTAGAGACTGGTGTTTCTTAATTCCTAGTATCTTAATACCTGATGGTGTTCTCAAAGTTATGGCTGCCAAAAGTTAGCTCTGGATAGATGAAATGTTGTTATAATCGACACTGATTTGAGTAACTGAATGTAACCAACAGTCATCTTGTGACAGAAGGTTAAACAGAAAATGACATGTATTTTAAGAAATAATGCTTCAGAACTAACACTTCGCAATCAGTATATCCCATATACACAATTATTTCACTTTATAATACTTACAGGACTATCCATTCAAAACCAACAAATCTTGGAAATTTTGTTTTTTAAAAAGCTACTATCAATACTACCCTAAAAAATGAAAAATAAAATGAAGGGCTTTATTTAAAAAGTGAGAGATAACTTACTGAAATGGCACTAATTCTTCTAGGCTGAGTACACACTATCCTGCACGCAGATCCTTTTCCTCTTTCGATGTAATTATCCAAAATGAACTGAGTCACTTGGGTGGTTTTTCCACAACCAGTTTCACCACTAATTACTGTCACCTGGTTATTATCGATCATATTTACCAATTCCTATTACAAAAAGAAAAATAAGTGAACGACATCGCAAGTTAAAGTCTAAAACGACAGTTACCGAAATTCTATGAAACTGAAGGTAATTGCCTCTAACAAACACTAACGCTTTTTAAATTTTGTTATGTGCAGTGCTGGCAGTTTGGATATCTGGATCTACCAGTTTTCAAGAGCTAAGCACTAAATTATAAAAAAAAACAGAGTCAAGGCAGTGTTACAAAAAAATATAGCGGAAAAAAACAAAAAAGAAATAGCTTATAAGTTCCAGGCATAAGAATTAAAATGAATTAAGAAGAATGTTGGCGTGGGACTATTGAGTATAAGGCAAATAACAACTAAAGACATTAAGGACTTATATTATAATTCATAAATATGGCTTTGTCTATAGGATAAGTTTTATATATTGTTTTAAAATACCAGAATATAATTTAAGGTATTTCTTTCAAATACAGATTTTAAACACCTAAGTTACCAAAAAAACATTTCGTGAAAATTAGTTTTTAAACTCTAAAGATTTCAGTTATGGACATAATATGAGCAAACTTCAGAGATATTATTTCATGACCATTTTTTTCTTTTTGTTTTTGGTCAAATTAAAAAAAAAATGAACTTCCAAGAATATCCATTAGAGAAAGGCTCATTAATTTATATCTCTTCTTAGGGTAACACTTGGTAAAAAAAACTTTTATTTTAAGTATTTTGCAAATCAAATTAAATTGTGCATAATCATTTACCTTTTGCATTCCAAATGAAGGCAGCTTTTCCCTGAAATGCTAAAATTAGAACAAAATGTTACAAATTTTCACCAAAAAAACAGAAATTATAACCTGATAAAATATATCGATATGCTAGAATACAGAAGTATTTGTATTGCCCCACAGCTTATGGGAAATATTAAGACTTAAAAAAGAATTTTACTAAAAAAAAGCTAACTTAGTTATCCCTTTTGCTTTTGAAACATTGAAAAATAAAATTCTATCACATCCAACAGAGTAGAGATGCCTTGTTGGAGTTAGTGACAATGAAATCTATCATCTAATAGCATTCTTTTACATTTTTTCTATTTGTTTTATGTATTCATCTTAGATTTGATTTCCACACCAGGTTCTTTTCCTACCCATATCCACACCATTTATTAATGCATTAAGCACTGAAATACACTGAAAGATTATTTCTGGGTACTTGCCTTTGAGTATAAAAGACAGCTTAAAACAGTATCAGCAGTAATAAAATTTGGTACTGTCACTTAAGAACTGTAATCTTAAATCAAACCTGGAGTCTCAAGGTCTTCTCTCTGGGCTACCACAGATCTAAATGAAAAACCTTTACATAAAAAACAAGTAGCTGTTTCTGACACATACAAGCTACTCAACAAGATTTTGGTGAATTACAATTGGAATACGAGAGACGACAGTTTCTTTTCTGTGACTTTTACGTAATAATTTCTTTCTAGTTTTGTAAACTTCTATGGATCCCCATACCCACACTACATAAAAATGACATACACTAAGCAGCAGCACTATGGTTTACACTGAACTAGGTATATCATATAATATAAAAAAAACCTTCAGTGGTATAAAAAAATAAACCAGTTTTAACAAGCCCTATTTATTGAAAAGAAAATTTGCAAAATTAGAACTATCCTAGGTAATCTAGTATATTATTGCCATGCTTGTTTTTTAATTTCATGAAACATCATCCTTACTAATTTTTGCCTACTTGATTTGTCAAGATGGAGAAAGTGTCAAAGTCCCCTAATACCATTTACTGAGATATAGTTGACATATAACATTGCATTAGTTTCAGGTGTAAAATATAATAATCCACTATCTGTATATATTGTAAGATAATCACAATAAATCTAATACCCATCACTATACATAGTTACAAGCATTTTTTCTCGTGAAGAGAACTTTTAAAATCTACTCTCTCTGCAACTTTCAAACACACAACATCCAGCACTATCACTAACTATGCTGCACATGCGCTGCTTGTCACGGTCAGGTGACTTGTGCCAATGCTATAAAACTGAGTCAGTGCATTATCACTAACCACGCTGCACATGCCCTGCTTGTCATGGCCAGGTGACTCGTGCCAGTGCTGTAAAACTGAGTCGGTGGTGACTTAAATGAATTCTACTGCTCCGAGATAACAAGTCACCATACTTTTCTTTGTAATTCCTTTTATTATAATTTTTAACATATTTAAAAATATTTAATTTCTAAAAATAGTAATATCCCAAGTAAATGGAACTGTCTTAATATTTAAGTATATACAAGCCATCCTATGAAATTTGAAACTAGCATTAACCATATTTGATTTCTATATACACAAATACTGCTAAAGAGAGAATTACAACCCAGTATTCTTTCCCAAAGCAAGTACACCTTCTATTTCTTAATTCCTAGCTGCAACCCTGAGATGAGGTGATGGGGATAGAAACTGAGGACAAGGAGTGCCTTATGAGCCTTTGGACAACACAGCACAATGACAGGCATCTAGCAAGTGGAAAATTAGTGTTTATTAAACAAATCACGAAATAAAGTAAAAACACAGCACATCACACCAAGAAGAATTCAAGAGTTGAACTCTTAAAACACATCTGAATTTCAGACCCGGTTCTCTTACTAGCTACGCACCTTAGGTCACTTAATCTAAGGTTCTTTTTCCTCGTCTATAATAAACGAGTATAATCCCACACAGGGCTGCTGGGAGGTTTAAATGACCAAGTACATGTAAAACTTTTACAACCCTATCTGGCCAAAAGGAAGATGACCGAATGTTTTTGTTTCGCACATTTCTTCTCCTAACTTTCTCTGTCCTGCATTAGTTACTCAACTTTAATTGAACATTTGACTTCTGTCCCCTACACAAAGTAGAGAGTAGCCAATTCCCCTTGTTCCTAAGGCAGTAAAAGCTCTACTCTCAACCACGTGATGAATGGATTCATCTTGAAATCTCCTCTGTCCTTACATTTTCACTCAATAGGAATAAAAAAACTACACAATCTGGCTCCTCGACAACCTCAGCTATCTGTTCTAAATAGGATATCCAATCTTAATCAGCAACAGGGAGTATACCCTTTCTTTCCCACAGGGAATGTGACTGACAGTCTGCCTTGGTCTAAAACAGTAGTATTTGCACATTAAAGATATGGCCCTCAGAATTTTCACCTTAAAAAAAAATGTACACACATGAACATTTCTTTACTTCTATCTCTAGAACATCCACAAAGCATACAACTTTATGTTTCAATAGGAAGGACCTTAAAATATCTTGCCTAACAGGAAAAGAAAATACTGAAGACGAAAAAAAAAAAGGTCAGGACAATTTTAGTTCCTGTCACAGTCCTACCTTTAAAATGTTGAACATAAGCAAATCATGTAACTTCTGAGGCATTTAATGTCATCATCTGTAAAAGGATTAAATCATCTAGAAGAAACTTCACAATTCTAACCACCTTGTCTTTTATGACATCTCCCTAAACTGGCCCAGAAAAGCTAAACTCAAGAGTGATTTTTTCATTTGAATCACCATTTTCAAATACTTTTCTCCTCGCCATATAAGCTACCACGGATGAGATAGGCTGCTGTAGGTTATGTGTTATTCCAGTCCTGTTGCTTTTCTCTACTTTATGGGAGGAAAATAATTCTCCGAGGGAGGCCTGATGAGGAATCCCACTGATCTATTCCACGCAACTAATTCCAACCATAAATATATTTTTATCGAGTTTGAGAAGACAAATAAAATGTTTTCCCACATCTTGCTTCCCATTACCTGCATTTCAATATACCGAGGGTCAGTTTTTTTCTTTTGTAAATCTTCCAATAACTGTTGGTCTAAGGTTACATCTGGTTTATTTTCTTGCAAGAGATACTCAGAATCTCGGTCAATGTATTTGTCCCTGATTCTAAATGTCCTCTTTTCTTGATTCATCAATTTTTTTTCCTGATCCTCAAATTTCTTCTCTGAGTATGGTTTATTCTCAGCAGGAGCTTCAGTACCATATCTATTTTGACCAAAAAAAAAAAAAAAAAAAGAAAACGACAAAGACAAAGGATTAAATAACCAGAAACAAAACAATATGCTGTTGAATTATTTCAAAAATCACCAAAATCAAAAGCTTTTATCTTTTTCTCTTAGTAGAGCAATTATCAAAACACTTATATTTTTAAAGTAAACTAAAATTTTTCCTCCTTCCAAATAGATAATGCCAGTTAAGTTATCCCTGTAGTAATGAAATTTTTTAAAAAATTCACACAAGTCATTCCTCCTTTGCAATGGTGTGGTGTTTTCATGAGCCTTGATAAATTTTATAACTTCATTTCTTCCTGCTACCTTTCCTGAGCTATAAATGGGATGCTACATTACACAGTCCCAGAAAAACTTTGACTAATTTTCTCTCTAAATGATGCAGTTTGTGATTTTCTTAAAATAGCCCCAATATAACTTCTTATAGGTCTCCCCCAGAAGAGAATTTTGTTACTAGAAAGATGATGGGGATGAAAAACAATAAATAATAACTTAATAAATCTCATATGCAGATAAACTATTCCTATCACTTAGCTTTTCTGTAGGAATGAATATGCCATCTAATTTTTACCCTTTCGTCAAATCTGCTCCATCTACATAAGAAAAAAAAATACTTTAAGGCTAAATTTCACTTAGTAAAATAAGTCTAAAGATGTAATTTTTATTATCATTTTTCTTCTAGCCAATGCTATGGAGTAAGTGTCACTCTTGGCCCATCTTTTAAAAGAATACTTTTGTTTTACCCATGATCTTCAGGAGCAAACCAGGATATCTGTGATTCTGAATCTTTATCACTCTTAGCTTGGACAGAGTGTAGGAGCTGCACAATCTGTTCTTCTCGATGTTCGTCCATGTGTACCACGGCTCTCTATTTTATGCAAAGAAAAAGCATCCTCATCAACATAGAAGGCAAGTGTAAAATTATTTGATGAAAAATAAAGGTAAATACATGTTCAACAACCATATATAAAAGAGTTAAGTTTCCCCACACTTGCCCTCTTGCCCAATTCCTAGACCTGGTGCTAACATTTTCATACATATCCCTCAAGATCTTTTTTTCTACTATATATAATAGTAGAAAATTAGCTGTAATGTAATTGCCAAAAAAAAAAAAAGATATTTATCTTCCTTCCTAAAACTCTGATTTCCCTTACCTCCTACCCTACCCTCACATTTTATGATTTTGTTCTCTTCAATTTTCACAGATACCCACAATTAAAGTTAAAGAAACCCAATATTCTGTCTAAAAACAACTACGTTAAAAACTGGAAATACTACTTTGGTTGCAATTAGCATTTTAAGAGCCTTTTAAACTTCTTACACTAAAAAGAGGAATAAATTGAGAAGAAGGCTGAGCTGAGAGAAAACAAAATGATCATGCTCATGAAGATGACGGTATGACATGACAAATGATTCCGTTTCTTCACAGAATGAGAATGATAAAAAACCACACCAGCCTGGCCAGGTGGCTCAGTTGGTGGAAGCATCACCCCACATGCCAAAAGTCTGCAGGCTCGATTTCCAGTCAGGGCATATACCTAGGTTGCGGGTTCAATCCCCATTTGAGGCACATGCCTAAGGTTGCAGGTTTTGATCCCAACCAAGTCAGGCATGCACAGGAGGTACCCATTCAATGTTTCTCACATCTGTGTTTTTCTTTCTCTCTCTCTCGTTCCCTCAAGTCAATAAATGCATCTTTGGGTGAGTATAAAATATACATATGTGTTTGACATATATATATTTTGTGTGTGTGTATATTCCTTTATGTGAGAAGTGGCCAACATGTTTGAAAGCCACTGTCCACCTCCACACTCCACACCTCAACACACTCCACAACCATGCTCTTACTTTCAGTTCCTCGAGTATGCTCTTCCTGAAAATCCCTTTCCAAACCTCAAATCCCAAACACATACACACTTTGCTATCTTTCAAGTTTCAGCTTAAGGGTTATATCCTCTTGAAAATCTTCCTGATCCTCCTAGAGTTAAGTAACAGCACACATTCTCTTCATTGTAATACTTTAACATTGTATTCTAACCATCTGTAACACCTAATACCCCACTATCTCTATAAGGTAAGAACTGTTATCTGTCGTATTAACACAGTGCCTAAGATGTTATCTCAAACATCCTAGGTCCTCAGTAAGTATTTGTTGAAAGAGTAAGAGTGTATCATTATAATACATTCACTTGGTGAACAGAGATTACTTAAAAAAGTAAAACTGATGGAAATGGCTGAGAGTAAAGGCAGGATGAGCTAATTATTAAATAATGCTCATATATAGATAGGGAAAATGGAGACATTTTAGAGAGTGGAGTGGTATGAGAGCTGTAAGAAAAAAAGCAAAAATAAGTTATGTTTCCAAAAGTCATAATTACATCAGATTGCTGACTGAGCGCAAAAAGATAAGTACACAGAGGGAAACTTGGTATATTGAGGCTAGATTTCCAAGGTCTCTGGAACACATGTTAGGATGCCACTGAAATGAATTAGACTGAGACAGATGTGAACCTGCTTCTAATCTCAAGTTGAGAGCTAGAGAATGAGATGACTTACTTTTTGCTTTTAAAAGATCACCATGAGTGGCTCTACAAAGGACAACTAGTGGAAGCTAGAAGACCAGTAAGGAGACCAGGAACAAAAAACAAAATGGCTCGACCTATGGTAATGGCTGTGGTTCGATTGGGATATATAAAGTAGGCAGGACAAATCTGCTGAAATAAAAGAGAAGAATCACAGATAAATCCCATTTTGGCCTCCGCAAGTGAATAAATTGTAGTGGCATTTACTAAAATGGAGGTTTGAGAAGGGGCTGGAAATCAAAAGTTCCATAATGATGCATCACACAATTGGTTTCAGGTGGAAATAACAATGAAAAATTATTACAGATTTATTTAACTTCTCATCCTTTAAAGTCTTATTTTCCCAATTAAGACTGTATGTTACTTCTTCCGATTCCCATAGGAACATAATAAAACCTTGTGTAAAACGAGTAAATGGAATTTGATAGAGAGTTCTTGTAAAGTTACTGTGGGTTTGTGGCTGTTTTAATACTTAAAACAAAAGCTGGGCTATTCTGAAAGCTCTACATGCAAATCAGCGCTTGGCAGCTTTTGTTACCGGCAGCCCTGTATCTACTGCAGAAGGTCGCTGGTTTCGAGTCCATCAAGCAAAAATCTTCAATAAAACTGACCATAATTACTTTAAGGGAAAGGGCTGCCAAAGATACTACGGTAATGTCACCCCAATGGAGTTATTTTCGGTTGCAACCTTAAATTAACATTTGCTTTGTCCACAGTTCCCTCGTCCTGAAGGAAAGTATACGTTCAGCCTCCATAAATCCTAACAGCTTCAAGTAAGAGGTGCATGGCTAACGTTTAGTTCTACAGCATCTTCTGCAGGAAGCTTTAGCATAACACCTTTGCACTTCATAGTCACTACACAAAGCACTTATACCAGTTAAGAAACCAAGAAAGAAGAATAAAATTAGGGGAGGCAAGAGAGAAATGAGAAGCTATTGTGCCTTGCATTATCGAGTCTCGGATTACCTCCTGCCTCTCGGCTTCCTTGTTCTTCTGCCCCTGTTTCTTTGCGTACCACAAGCCGATTTCGCGGCCTTTCAGGTGTCCAGGATGTCGGCCGCGGCCCCCTCGACCACCCCCTCCTCCGCCGCCGCCGCCTCCGGAGCCTCGGTTCCCTCCGTGGCCCCCTCCATGACTTCCTCCACAGCTCCCGCCGGAGCTTCGGGGCCCACCATCACGGCCCCAGTTCTGATGGTAGTCATAGCTCATTGTCCCAGCGGACTACAAAGCGTGAGAACCTGTAACCGCTAGAAATGGCGACGGGACCGGAAGCGAGTGTACGTCCACTTCCGCTTTGCTTCCGGCCCAGGGCGAGAGGGCGGGTCCTTGAGCGTCACAAGGAGCCATTTCCGGTGACGTCACCGGCAAACGCGAGGTTGGCTTAAAGTGCAGTCTACGTGTTGTTTCCTTGGCTGTGTACTTAGGTGCGACGGGAGGGAACGCGGACAGAGGGCTCACAGGTTTTATTTTCCTACACCCAGCATGTGAAGAACTGAGTTCCACTTTCTTACTCTTTGTGGTAAAATCCGGAGTCTGTGTTCAGTTAGTAAATATCGACACAGTAAAAGAACCTGTGGGATGAACATTCTCTCCTAAAAGTCCCTAAAGAAATGAGTTCATATTTTTTTTCTAGTGATACGCCTTGGAAACAGGTTGGTGCATGTTTCAAATATTTAATTAAGTAAAACAATGTCCCTGCCTTTTTCGAATGCTTATCACTATTTACTACTACCTTTAGCCAACAGCATAAGAGAAGCATGTCTTAGCCAAATTCAGTGCACAGCAGTTAGACAATTAAGTAAAACATCAGTTGAAGAGTCATGTTCATATGAAGTTACCCATTGTTGATTGACCAGGCCACTGTTTTCAAACAAGGCACTAAGCCACACAGGCTTGGATGTTCACCAGGGGATATCAGTTTATTTAGACATGTAACTGATTTAAAGGCACTAGGGGTACTCACTGATAAGACAAGCAGGGCATCAGCTTTCATTTGTGTGCAATCTTGAGAAGATAAAGGCTAAAGAAATTAGTGTGCAGCGAGTTAAGAAAGGGAAATGCTACACGCTGGGAAGGGGTTCAGCATACTGCCTCAGTGGCATAAAAAATATTGTGAGCAGAGGCATTTGGTGTCCTGAAATTGCTTATCTGCCTAAAAGCAGAGCCTCCCTTTGGCTCTTTTGAGTAGAAAGGAATGGAGGTGGGAAGAGTGGATGGAGAGAAACTAGTTGCCATCCTGTGATATAGGGTGGCAAATGGGATCAAGATGGGAAGGACTGGAATTAAGAGAGATTAGAAAATAAAATTAAGATTTGATAAATCATTTAATGCAGAAAATTAGAGGGAAAGGTCAGATGACTTTCAAGTTTAAGATTTGAAAGTCTTATCAAATAAGGCAGTACCACATCCTGAAATGAGGAACATAGGATGAGGAGGATTATTTTGGCTGGAGGGAGAGTTAAGTCAATGTGTTGAAATTGTGTATGTAGAGTTTGAGGAGCCTATGAAACATACAAATTGAGATGTCTAGAAAGCAGCTGGTTGTATGAGTTTCAAGTGCAGAGAAAGCAGACAGATTTTACATTTTGGGAGTTCTCAGCTAATATTAAGACTATAGGAATGAACAGTTCCAATTAAAGCACCCTTTGGCCTCACCTGATGTGACGATAGATGAATTGTTCAACAGGTAGGATGAGGTAGGCATATTGGAGATGGTAGGGGGAAAGAGTGTGGGCTGTTAGGTGAGAGAGTGTTATGGACTAAATGTGTCCCCTCGGAATTCATATGTTGAAACCCTAACCTCTCAGTGTAACTGCATTTGGTATATAGCTTTAAGGAAGTAATTAAATTAGATCATAAAGGTGGCACCAAATCCAATAGGATTAGAGTCCATATAAGAAAACAAACAAACAAACAAAAAAAAAACAGAGCTTGCTGTCTGTCCCCAGAAGAAAGGTCATGTGAGAACAGCTGTCACAAAACCAGGAATGGAGCTCTCACAAGGAACAGCTGGCATCTTGATCTTAGATTTCATAGCCTCCAGAGCTGTGAGAAATGTTTCTGTTTATGTCACTGAGGCTTAAACCTGCAGCATTTGTTACGGCAGCCTGAGCAGAGTAGTAAAGAGAGTAAGTGGGGAAGAGAACTACCATTGTTTGCTCACTTAGAATTTGCTAGGTAGTGAGCTAGGTGATTCATATCTGCGATTAGAAGAATAATGACTCCCTGCAATATTTCACATCCTAATTCCTGGAATCTGTGACTATGTTGCATTACATGGGCAAGGGAATTTAAAATTGCTAATCAGATGACCATAAAATGGGGACAGTATCCTGGATCATCTGGATGAGCTCTGTAGCTGTAAGAGTCCTTAAAAGTGGAAGAGGAAGGCAGAAGAAAAGTTCACAGTAATGTGATATGAGGACTTAACCAGCTTTTGCTGGCTTTGAAGATGGAGGGAGGGGACTAGGAGCCAAGGAGTGCAGAGAGCCCCCAGAACTGAAAAAGAAAGTGGGTTCTCCCTTAGGGCCTGGGGAAAGGAGTGTCCTGCCAACGCCAGTGAAGACCCTTGTCAAATTCTATGCTACAGAACTGTAAGGTAATAAATGTGTGTTGGTTAAGATTCTGAGTTTGTGGTAATTTATTGTGCCAACAATTGAAAAATAATGACAGTCCATATCTTACACAATCCTCATGAATGAAAACCCCAGAGAGGGGTAGTGTTATTTTTTCAGATGAATTATTTCTCTTCATTTCATGTTTGTTGATCCTAAGCAGAATCTTAGTTGTGAATTTAAAATTACTAATTTTTTTCTGATGTCTTCAGCATACAGTACAGCATTGATTAAGGCTATTGCTTTTGGCAGACACTTAGCACAAATGTCATTGTAGTAAAAATCTGCACAGAAGGGTGATTTTTGAAGAAAGATCAGAAAGATATTGGTAAGAAGAAAAGTGTCATTTGTTACTGGTTTGGGGTTTTTTTCCTGCCTTGGTTGGAACCACAAGAATTCTCTGGTTACCTAGTGCCAGAAAACAAATGGTGGGACTGATTTATTATAATCAACATTGTTACTCCAACCAGTGCTCTGCCATTTATTGTGCTTTGTGCAGGTGAAAAGGTGTCCTTTCCATTGATCTCAAATGTCCTCCCACTGGCCTTTTGGTTGCAGACCCACAGTGTTTGACATCCACCTCCCAGTGCAGCCACCTATGAGTGAGCCACACGAGACTGGGAAACTATCACAGTTTTCCCAGTCTCAGGGCATCTCTTAGTCTTCATCCTCCTTACCCTGTGAAACAACTCGTGCAATTTTTCATGGGTCTAATATTCATGAAGACCTGGGTGGGGATTTTTTTTGGTGTTCGTTCCCCTTGAAAAATAGAACCCTTAATTGATTCTGACTTCCTCTTGTAGTGGGGAGAGGTGGGGATAAGTTGATATAATGTAATCTTAGATCAACATAATTACTTATGTTGATATAAGTAATCTTAGATCTCTATAGAATATAAAGTCTGGCTGTTAAGGATAGGAAAGGGGGGGAATGTAGAAAGTATTTATTTCTGTCTTATATCAGGAGGAATATGGAAGAACATATTGAATAACCCAATAGAGTATCTTGTCATATAAAATTTTTAACTGAAATAGGAAAAGTTTAGTTAAACTGAAAATATGGAATTTGTAGAGAATGAGTCATCTTAACTATAACTGATAATGAAATCACAAATTTACTTAAAATATAACTCAGATTAGCAAAGAAAATGTCAGGAGTTTTTTGGTTTGTTTATTACTAATTTAATGTCTGGATTCCCTCCTTGCTAGGCAATAGAGAAATAGAGGGAACATCATAAAATTGTCAGCTCATTTTTAAAAGATAATTATGAAGTTACACTCTCTATTAGGCCTTTTTCATCTTTCTAATGGGAGGTCTTGATAGCTGAGGGCTGGGATTTTTGCAGACATCTTCAAACATCTGCTAGTTAATGCCAGTTTGGAGCTGAAGCTTTGTCAGGCCACGGGCTGGGACGCCTACACATAGCCTCTCTGTTTAGTTGCTGTGTGTGGCATAGTTTCAGCCTCCTCACAGAATAGCAGCTGGCTTCCAAGAGCAAGTGTCACAGAGCAAGGTGGCATTTTCATTAACTAGCCACAGAAGTCATGAGCACTATACATTATCGGTTGAGTCAGTTACAGATGTCCAGTCAGGTTATAGGGCAGTTAGGCTTCTCCATGCTGCAGGAGGTGAGCCAAGGTCACATTTTAAGAAAAGCATGTGGGATGGGAGATATTGTACATATCCACGAAAGGTACAATCTGCTCTAAGTGCTAATTCAGATCTTCTCCAAAGCCACATTACACCTCCATTATGACAGTTTTACAGACATCTCATGTTGCATCACAGGCACTCTTGCTATCGTCCACGTGACAACCAGAAGTTGGAAATGGAGTGTTAATACTATAAGTAGCATTTAGTAAGTGCTTATTTTGTGTCAGTTACTACAAGTAGGTACTCTTCTTTTTCTCTATTTTAATACAGTTAGGACAAGAAACTCAAGAAACAGAAAAAGTAAAGGATGAGACCCCTCCAAGGAAAGAATACCACTATCACTGATATAGTTTATAAAAAATAATACAGTCTTAACAAACGTTAGAAAAAAACTAGGTGTCCGCACATTACTTATGCTGCCTTGCTTTAGAAAGCTTCTATTTTCGATCATTAAAACTTCATTTATCTATTTGCCAGAGATATTTTAAAAATACTAAATGGATATATTTCCAATCCTGCACCCATAAACCTAGTTCCCCAGGAGACATTTCACAATTATAACTCCAGAGAAGAGAGTGAAGTTGGCCTGGGGAAGGGTGATAGGAAGAAATGGAAATCCTTGGCATAGATGAAGTAGAACAAGAAGGCCTTACTGTGATAGGAGAATGTGGAGGGCAGATGGGGAAGAAAGAAAGGCAGATGTATTAGTATTGTGACCCTTTTACCCCATCTCAGCTTTTGCCACGTTTCCTCCTTAGGGATTTCCTGGTTATAGATTTTGGTATATCCAGTGTTCATGCTAAAGAGAAAAATTACTCATTGAAGCTTTGTATGCCCCTGGAATTCTGGGAGGTTTTCCCGCTTAATTATGTCAGATTGATCTGTTTCCCTGTATGTCAGTTCCCCCCACCAGCCTTACCTCTTGCCTTACCTTTGGGGAGTCTTTTAGACATATCAGGGTTTTTCCTGGTCTTAATTGCTCAATGTTGAG